TGCGGACATTTTTCCATTTTTTGTTCAGATAGAGCGGGAGGGAAGGAGGGAGAGAGAGAGAGAAAGAGAGAAACATCAACATGAAAGGTACACATCGAGTGGCTGCCACCCGCATGACCCATCCAGGGCTGGGGACAAACCGCAACCAAGGTACGCGCCCTTAGCGGGAAGTGTACGCGGGTGTCTCTGGACCACAGGCCGACGCTCTAACTGCTGAGCCAAACCGGCCAGGGCAGGATGGGGTTTCTTAGAATGGTGGGGATGGGGGAGAGATTTCTGAAGCTGATTAACAACACAGAATGGCTTAGATTGTGAGTTGCTGTCACGTTATATCAGCTGGCACCTTTTTTCTCCCCTGGATCCCTTTGAATGCGTTTGTTCACTTCTCTGGGCCTCAACTTGTTCAGCTGTATGATGGGACTAAACTGATTCCTCTTTGAAGACATTTTCTTATCTCATAATAGAAAACATACTTAATGTTTTTAATGTATTTTTATATTTCAGTACAGTTAGTATACAATTATATTAGTTTCAGGTGTACAATATAGTGATTTGACATTTTTATACCGTACAGTGTGATCACTCCGCTAATTCTAGTAATTACCTACCACCGTGTAAGAGTGTAACAATATTATTGACTATATTCCCTTTCCCTTTGCACCCACCCCCTCTCTTCTGGTAACCATCCCTGTGGTCTCTGTTTCTATGAGTCTGTTTCTGTTTTTGATTTGTAAAACTAGGTCCTGTTTCCACCAAGGACAGAAAATCTCTCTCTCTCTCTCTCTCTCTCTCTCTCTCTCTCTCTCTCTCTCTCTCTCCTGCTCTCCCTCTCTCCCTCCCTCTTCCTCCCTCTCACTGGTGTGTGCATTGATTTGCTGCAAGTTCAGGTAGGTGGAGTGTGTGCGTCTTACCATTTCTTAGAATGGAATTGCCTGAAATCAGAATAAAGAAGAAAATCATTTCTGCTCTGAGTAACTTTGTTCATTTTTTCCAGGTTAGAAACTTGGTTACTTTCTAATTATAGATTGTGGCTGGGCGTGTTGTAAACTCAAACCAGTTCTATCTCTTTGTTCTGTTCTTTTCCCTTGAACATGAGCAACAGGAACAGGTGAAGAGCAAATCTGGAATTGCTTGAGTCAGGCCTGGATTTCTCATTGTTCTCTGTCCTTGGCTTTATTTAGACATTCAACTCAGATATCTACTTTACTTGACCAGAGGAAAATAGAAAAAGCTTGGCATGCATTTCATTACCTACTCACTTCATGAATTATTATTTTGATAAGTATTCTAGAAATACTGAGTAGGAGGCCTTTGACACTTTGCTGCCCACCAGTCAGCTCTGATCTACATTAATGCGAAGGAACTCCTGAAACTTGAACCCTCCACTCTAGTTCTTTGCTTTTCTTTTCAGCTCAGAAATACTTAGGTCAATATCAAAGCTATGTAAAAGGGTTTGTTTCTTTCTGATACCTTTTCTCACTTTCATTTTTAAATATTAATTTTGTAATATTCAAGTAATACTTGGCTATTGAGAAAAACATGAACATAGAAATAAGCAAATGGAAATAAACTGCCCATGATCCTACTACCCAGTATAACTACTGTAGTCTTTGCTGTTATCTGTCAGATTCCTTTTGGTGTTAGGAATGAGATTCATTCACTGTGTGAGTCTCTCCACTGAGTCTCCTCACCACCTGCTAGTGAGAATTTTGGTTTTGCCCTGTCCACTCGTTCCCGTCCTGGGGCCTATAATGACATTTTTATCTTTCTCAGACCAATTATGGGGTTAAGTCAGGAGGTAGGGTATAACCCACATAAATTTAACAATGAAAAAAGTACAGAGAAACTAGTTGGACCCAGATAAGAAAGAACTGGAGAGGAGAGGACACAGCGGGATGCCGGCAAGCCTGCGGGTGGGAATCGAGAGGAACTGCCTCACCAAGGGGAGGAATGGAAATCGTGTGATGTTAGTTACCGAAGGGAAGCGAAGCAAGGATGACTGTTGCCGTTGACTGTGCCATGCCTGGTGCAGGGCTGGAAACAGCTGCTTATATATTTTTATATTTTCTTTTTTCATATGTTCATATTATTTCTGATTACAAAATAACATATTTTTTTTTTTATCCTCCCCCGAGGATATTTTTCCATTTTTTGTACAGATAGAGTGGGAGGGAGAGAGAGGAAGGGAGAGAGAGAGAGAAACATCGACGTGAAGGGACACATCAAGTGGCTGCCACCCGCACAACCAACCAGGGCTGGGGACAAACTGCAACCGAAGTACGTGCCCTTAGCGGGAACCGAACCCGGGTCTCTCCGGACCGCAGGCCGACGCTCTAACCGCTGAGCCAAACTGGCCAGGGCCAAAATAACATATTAATTGTAAAAATTTCTAATTCTGAGCTGTATAACATCTATGATAAATCTACCTAACAGAGAATGTGTTCCAGTTGATTTTACCCACACAATGTATTGTTAATGTCTTCCATATTATTAATTATACTTTGACTTTAAAAAAGAATTGCTGTATATACCACCATCTAGTAAATTCTTAGCCCTATAGATTATTTCCTAAAAGTTTTTCATCATAAATACCACTAAGAAGAATACCATTACAACTTAATCTTTGTATTTTTATTTATTTCCTTAGACTCTATTCTAGGGAAGGGATTTATTGCTTTGAAGGGTATAAGTATTTGCTACAGTTTTGAATGAAATAAGCAATTTATTATCATAGGGTTTAATCTTTAATTATGTACTACTACTCTTACCACTGTTTAATTCCATGCCTTTTAATAGAAATATTTATTTATTTATTTATTTATTTAAGAAGTGAGAGGGAGAGAGAGATAGAAACATCCACGAGAGAGAAACATCCATCGGCTGCCTCTCCTGCATGCCCATTACCAGAGATCTAGCCACAACCCTGCCATGTGCCCTGATCAGGAATTGATCTGGTGACCTCTTGGTGCTTGGGTTGACCGATGCTCACCACTGAGCCACACCAGCTGGCCTGAATAGAAAATTTTAAGTTCTTGAAAGCATTTTGACATTGATTTTATCCCTGATTTTACCCGTAAGGTATGCAATACTTTCACTCCTATTTGAAAGTATTTAAAATAGCTTTTGGGTTTTAAGAGGTGGAATAGGAATAAATTTATTTTTCCTTTATTGATTTTTTTAGAGAGAGGAAGGGAGAGGGAGAGAGAGATAGAAACATTGATGAGAGAGAACATTACTTTGCTGCCTCCTGCATGCCCCCCACTGGGGATCCGGCCCACAACCTGGGCATGTGTTCTGACCGGAAATCAAACCAGCAACCTCTTTTTTTTTTAATTTTTTTTTTAAATTATTATTATTTTAATCCTCACCTGAGGACATTCCTCCATTTTGTTGTTCAGATATTGTGGAAGGGAGAGAGAGAGAGAGAGAGAGAAACATTGACATGAAAGGGACACATCGAGTGGCTGCCACCCTGCACAACCCAACCAGGGCCAGGGACAAACTGCAACCGAGGTACATGCCCTTAGTGGGAACCGAACCTGGGTCTCTCGGGACCACAGGCCAACGCTCTAACCGCTGAGCCAAACTGGCCAGGGCCAAACCAGCAACCTCTTGGTGCATGGGTCAACACTCAACCACTGAGCCACACTGGCTAAGCCGGAGCTAAAATTTAAAGGTATTTTTTAAAAAGGTTCTTATTATCCTACATATGAATCCCAGCACAAGTATGAATCCTTTCTCTGTTCTGTTTCAGAGATAGTAAGCTCTTGGCCTCTCCTTTCATTATCTGTCTTCTCCGGTGCCTCACTTCCAAATCCATCATGGTGACATTCAGAGTGTGCTAAAAACACACTGACCCTCCCTGTTCTTCCCAAGTAAAATGCTTGTTAGCTTCTCATGAAGGTAAAATGTTAGTATTTTGTGTACGTGCAGACCACAACGGTCTTGTTTTGTATACACAGAGGGTTGGGGTGGAGGTGGGGGCTACAGTGTCCAGTCATTTTTGCTTATGAAATACTTGGTCTGAATTTCCTCTTCACAATGTGTTCCCCCATTATCAACAATAATGTGACCTTTGATTCACATACCAGCGAATCTCCCAAGTCTGTATTTGGAAATCCCAGTTGATAACCCACCTCCTACTGATGCTCTGGGCCTTTTGAAGAATTGTAACAGACTCTCTGTGCCAGGAATCGTAAACTCAACTGCCTCCATGACTGGACTGGTTTTGTAAGAGATAGGTGGAGGCCAGTTGTTGGAAACACAGTGACTAATGTCAGCTCACAGGGCCTCTGGCAGAGATGCCCTCGGCAGAGGTGAAGATGGGAACATAGTGGAGATTATTTGTTCTGTCTGAACAGGAAGGCAACTCCAGCCCTTGTTGACATATGGGAAGGTGACCTAGTGTTGTTAGATTTTCTTCTTTCTAGGACAAGCAAGAAATTCCAAGTTTTATGCATTTTTTAAATGCATTGGGATTTGAGTAAGTTTTTTAAAACACTATGTTTCAAACACAATTTTGACTGTAGACTAGATCTAACCCATGCAGGCCATTGCGTAATCTCTATGCTACTTTCACCTGTCGTGGCCATTTCTCTGAGGATTAAGTAAACCCTGAGAGCTCAGAAAATGTAACTTAATGTGTACTAGAGCCCAGGATGAAAGCTAAACACAGCCCCTCCAAATGATGAGGTCTCCTAAGATTTATAAGCCTTTTAAAATCGTGGGCCTCCAGAGAGATGAACTGATGAGTCTGGTGGGAGTCAGACTGCCGAGGTGTGGATCTTAGCTCCATTTTCTGTCCTCTGCACCTACATTTCTTCTCCTGAGAAATGAATGAGTGGTCTCTGTCTCATCAGGTTCTGAGGATTAAATGAGGCAGTTTAGGTAAAATGTTTAGTAAATACTACACTCTTGTTTTTATTCCTCCTCTCCTTCCTCATCTTCCTCTTCCTGCTGATACTACTATTGACCCAGCCTCTCTTTTTCTCCTGTTCCAGGTTCCTGAGCCCCTTCAACATGATCCTTGGAGGAATTGTGGTGGTGCTGGTGTTCACCGGGTTTGTGTGGGCAGCCCACAATAAAGACATCCTCCGCCGGATGAAGAAGCAGTACCCCACGGCCTTCGTCATGGTGGTCATGGTGGCTAGCTACTTCCTCATATCCATGTTTGGGGGGGTCATGGTCTTCGTGTTTGGCATCACTTTTCCTTTGTTGCGTAAGTGAACCTGAGTTGACTTTTCTTACATCATAAAAAATGGAGAGATTATTCTGTGGGAATTACATAACCTGTTTCTTATGTGCGTTGGCATGTCTGCAAAAGTATCAGAATTTTCTGAAATAGCAGATCAAGGCCCAGTAGTACATTAATTCTACAGATATGTATTGGGTACCTGCTCAGTGCCAGACACTCTTCTGGAGACACAACAGTAAACAAAAGAAACAAGTTCCCAGTGTCAGGGCAGGAAAGGGGCCTGGCCTGCACAGGGCTTCAGGTTTGCGTGATGGTGGCGTCTGCTCTCAGGCTTCGGGCCCTTCCCGCGGTCCTGGCTCAGGAGTTAAGTGTGTTTCATCTGGAAGTAGACTGCTTGCTCTCTACTGCTCAGAAGATCATTCTTGGTGTCAAAGGTTTTACAAGCCTATAGAAATAACTGGCCCAGAATACAGATAACCAAGTCTGCTTATTCTGTTGAGAAGTAGATATTTTGTAAGTTTTGTGTGTGTGTGTGTGTGTATAAATATATGTATAACATGTATACACACATACATATATGTATACATACATATATGTATAAATATATGCATATATGTATACATTTATATACATATATGTATAAATATACATATATATAATAGATACATATATATGTATAAATATATTTACTGCTATTCCAAACACAGGAAGCCTGAAATAGAGAACAGATAAAATTTAGCCTCATCAGCAGAAATCTGATTAAAATTCTAGTGTATTAAGTGACAGGAACATCCCTTTAAATTGTAATAGCATTTCACATGTGCATTATTCCATTAAATAAAATCAATTGGTGTTGTGTTAGATTAAGCCCAGAATAGTTATAGATGAATCCCACACAGTATTGGACAAACTATTTGAATCAGCGAATTCAGACTTTCTGAAACATTTTTCACATTTCCTTTATGTGCTAGAGGCTTTGTGTTCCACTGATTCTGCTCAGACATACAGCTTGGTCACTTTAGTAGCTTTTCACCCCAGAGTCTGGGAGAGGCCAGTATAATGAACTTGTATCATAGGTAGGGAGTCAAGGGTCTTCACTTCTATTCCTAGACCTGTTGGAAACCAGCCCTGGGATTTGGACCAGGTATACTATATGGGTTGTAGTTCACACATCTATAAAATAAGGAAAATTAGACAAGATCAGTGGTTCCCAAATTTGATGATTATGATAATCACCCAGGACACTTTTAAAAAATATAAATTTCCCAACTATATTTCTTTGAGATCTTGAGCCTGGGTTGACAGTGGTGCCCACAGAACCTGGATTTTTAGAAATGACCTCGTATGTTTCTGATGGCCAATCTAGGTTAGGAACCTCCAGGTAGAATGCACATTAGTGTCTCAGACTGAGGGTTCAAGGTCACCTGTGTCAGAACCATCCAGAGAGAATGTGGAACTTTACATTCTGGAGCCCCACCTCAGTCTTACCAGTCTGAATTGTGGGGGGTGGAGACTGGGAAGGTGCCTGTTTCACAGGCTTCCCAGGTGATTTGCATGGATACCAAAGTTTGAGCATCATTGGTGTGGGTCACCTGGGTGCCTGTTTAAAATAGATTCCCAGGCCCATTCCCTTATGGTCAGGAGACCAGACCATAAAGACTTGGGTAGTAAAAGTCTTAATAAAAAGACTTGGATAATTCTCAATGAGGAAGCAAATTGGGAGAACATGAGGGTACAATAAATCTATAAAACTGTTAGTTTTTATCTATAAATTTATATCCAACACTTTGGAAAGCTGCCTATTAGGTGGACTTTGCCACATGTTTCCTTTTATCCCAAAACTGAGCTTGAGTTCCTTTCTGGAAACTCTGTAAAGTGGGTGTTTCTGTGAGTTGGAACACACTGACTCCAGCATTTCAATAGCAGCCGGAAGGGGGCGGTATCCATGCGGATGGGAAGAGCGTGGCTGCCAGGTCAGCATCCCTCCTGCTGAAGACAGTCCTTTTCTTTTTTTTCTTTTTTTATTAATTAATTTATTTTTGTTACAGATGTTTCTCCTTTTCCCCCCACTGATTCCCCCCTCCCCCCCTCCCCGCCCTGTCCCCAGCTTTGTTGTCCATGTCCATTGTTCATGCACACATGCATATAAGTTCTGTGGTTTATCTCTCCCCCACCACCCCCTCTTCTGGGGATTGTCAGTCTGTACTCCACTTCCACGTCTCTGGGGATAGTCCTTTTCTTCACAGGAAAAGGAAACTTCACACGTAACTTTTTATCCTCACCCGAGGACATTTTTCCATTTTTTGTTCAGACAGAGTGGGAGGGAGAGAGAGGAAGAGAGAGAGAGAGAGACATCGACGTGAAAGGGACACATCGAGTGGCCGCCTCCCACATGACCAACCAGGGCTGGGGACAAACCGCAACCGAGATACATGCCCTTAGCGGGAACCGAACCCGGGTCTCTCTGGACTGCAGGCCGACACTCTAACCGCTGAGCCAAACCGGCCAGGGTGACAAAGAGCTTTAATAGAGCTCACATGCAGTCGGAACAAACATCTAAGGGTTTGGACAGGCTAGGGAACCAGGCTGGACTCCAGCTAGCTGCGGCCGGGACTGGGAGTGGGAGGAGAGGGTGTTCTGTGGTCGTGGAGAAAGGTCGCTAACCTTGGCTCACCTCTCTGCAGTGATGTTTATCCATGCGTCGCTCAGACTTCGGAACCTCAAGAACAAGCTGGAGAATAAAATGGAGGGGATCGGGCTGAAGAGGACGCCCATGGGCATCGTCCTGGACGCCCTGGAGCAGCAGGAAGAGAACATCGGCAAGCTCACTGACTACATCAGCAAGGTGAAGGAGTAGACCCCGCTGACCTGAGAGGCCGCAGGAGAAAGCAAGCTGCAGTTTGCCTCGTCCAGACCCACTTTCTGCTTGTATTTTTGAAATCGGAGGGACATATCACCCAACAACTGACGGCCGCATACATGTGTAGGCCAGACTGTTAACGTCTCTTATGTTACAGACAGAAGGCCCCAGAAACCAAAAGAAACCACCCTCCTAGTCTGTCTGAACTTTCAACTATGTTTATGAAAACTGATAGGAAATGGAGCACACTTATGTCTGTAGGGGAATAAAAGGAAATATAAGGATTGTGGGTGGTACAGCAAGAATACTGTTACCTTCTGTGGAAAAAGTAATTGTAAAGTGTCGAGGCCATGTGAGTAAACGGACAGACTGTCCAACTAGGTGATGGCGTGCATTCACCTGCTTGGTCCCCCCCCCCCCCCCCGCAGCCTCCTCCAACATACTCCCCAGGATCATATGTAGGCTATAAATTAGTGCAGTTTTTATTCTTTTAAAATCAGAGATGATCTCTATCACTTTGCCTCCTGTTTGACATGCAGAGGAAACTGGATAAACCAATTGTCTATATTTTGTTTACAAATATAAAGATAGCTGCTTAGGAGAATATTTTGTCAAATTTTTGTAAATTTTTGCAATGCTAGTAATGTATTTTACTCGCTGGTATTTGTTGCAAACTGAATGTCATCTTCCTTAAGGAGCTTACAGCTATGTAACCTGTATTATTTAGAGTCTTCTTTAAAAAGTAATAAAACAAGTTATGTTTATATTGCACATTTTTTGTTGTTATAATAACAAAAAGGTGTCTAAGATAATGTTTCTTCTATGTTTTTCATTTTTAGTTTTTAACTGGAACATTTAGAAAGAAGAAAATGAATGTGCATTTTAATTTCTCAGGGGCACAAAGAGGACCCCAGTAGCTGACTCTGGAATCTGAAAAGCATCTTCAGATGGCCAAGAACATAGGCCTTTTCTTTTAATCCTCACCTGAGGATATCTTTCCATTGATTCTTTCACATAGGGTGGGAGGGAGGAAGGGAGGGAGGGAGGGAGGGAGAGAGAAACATCGATGTGGGAGAGACACATCGATTGGTTGCCTCTTGCATGACTCTGATGGGGTTGGGGATTGAACCCCAAACCGAGGTACGTCCCCTTGACAGGGAATGGAACTCGTGACTGTTTGGTGCACAGATCGATGCTCTAGCCACTGAGCAAACTGGCCAGGGTATAGACTTATGAAAATGGGACTGATCACTGCTTTTGGCAGTTTATAACAATTTTAAGTAGCAATTGTTACAACCATGTGTTTTTAAAAATAGACATTAGAATTAAGATAGCATGTGTCTATATATTGTTACTTTCTTCCTCTTAACTTCCCAAGTATTTAGAAATAGATTGTACAAAGTGATTTCATAGATGAATAGAAAACATCTCAGTTTCATCCCGCTGAGTCTCGAAGATAATTGGCGCAGGAAGCTCTGTGTGTGGAGAATCAGGGCCACGGCACATGCTGTTTCTCATTTTTCCTGCATTTTAATTTCCCAGCCAACCTGCAGCCTTCGTCTCTGGCACCGTGATGACATCATGACTTCACAGACATAGTGTAGATTGTACCCTGACCCAAATATGAAGAATAAAATGTATCAAAGGTTTTTTTGTGAGACTTTATTTAACACACATCTGTGTTAAATATTGGAGAAACTTGGTGGCAATCCTATAAGTGACATGCTACACAGCAAACACTCGGCTTGTGTTGCAAATACTGTTTGATCAAACCTTAATATTTTATTAACTTCCAGCCAGAATAAAATTGAATTCCAGTGGGATCTTTTTTAAAAATTGTAAATCATTTTTTAATTTTTCATTTAAAGTTGACATACATTATATTAGTTTCAGGTATATACCCCAGTGATTAGACACGATATAACTTACTAAGTGATCATCCTGATATATCTTGTATCCGTCTGACACCATACCTAGTTATTACAATATTAGCGACTATATTCCCCATACTGTACTTCCTATGACTGTTCTTAATCCCTTCACCTTCTTTACCCACCCTACCCCCCAATCTGGCAACTGTCAAAATGTTCTCTGTATGAGTCTCTTTCTGTTCTGCTTGCTTATTTATTTTGTTTTTTACATTCAATTGCTGATAGATATGTATATATTGCCATTTTATTGTTTATATTTTTAAAAAATATTTTTTATTAATTTTTAGAGAAAGAGTAGGGAAGAGGGATATAGAGAGAGAAACATCAATGTGAGAGCAACACATTGACTGGCTGCCTCCTGCACGCCCCACACGAGGGATCGAGCCTGAAACCCAGGCATGTGCCCTGACCAGGAATGGAGCTGACACCCTTTCCTTTTTTTTCTTTATTGATTTGAGAGAGGAAGGGAGAGGGAGGGAGATAGAAACATCAGTGAGAGAGACTAACGATTGGCTGTCTCCTGCATGCCCCCCCTTACTGGGGATCGGGCCCACAACCTGGGCATGTGTCCTGACAGGAATCGAACCAGTGACCTCCTGGTGCAGGGTCGACGCTCAACCACTGCGCCACACCGGCCGGGTCAGCTGGCAACATTTTCATGCATGGCATGATGCCCAACCAACTGAACCACATCAGCCACGGTTATTGTTCATATTTTTTAAAATCTTTTTTCCCCTTCTTCTTAAAGAAGACCATTTAACATTTTATGTAATACTGGTTTGGTGGTGGTGAACTCCTTGAACTTTTTCTTGTATATATCCTTTGATTCTAAATGATAACTTTGCTGGGTAGAGTTATCTTATTTGTAGGTCCTTGCTTTTCGTCACATCGAATATTTTTTTGCCACTCCCTTCTGGCCTGCAAAGTTTCTGTTGAGAAATCAGTCTTCTGGGAACTCCCTTGTGAGTAACTAACTCTTTTCTCTTGCTGCTTTTATTATTCTTTCTTTGTCTTTAACTTTTGCCATTTTAATTATGATGTGTGTTGGTGTGGACGTCTTTGGGTTCATCTTGTTTAGGGTGCTGCACTTCCTGAACTTGTATATCTATTTCTTTCACCAGGTGAGAGAAGTTTTCTGTCATTATGTTTTCAAATTATTTTCCAATTTCTTGCTCTCTCCTGGCATCCACATGATGTGAATGTTGGTACATTTGAAGTTGTCCCAGAGGCTCCTTAGGCTATCCTCATTTTTTTGGATTCTTTTTTCTTTTTGCTCTTCTGATCGGATGTTTTTTGCTTCCTTGTACTCCAAATCACTGATTTGATTCTTGGCTTCATCAGCTCTGCTCTTGGATTCCCTGTAAATTATTCATTTTAGTTAGTGCATACTTCATTTCTGACTCATTTTTTTTTATGGTTTCCATGTCCTTTTTTATGCTGTTGTTCTCACTAACTTTATTGAGCATCTTTATAACCAGTGTTTTGAACTCTGCATCTAGTAGATTGCTTGTCTCTATTTTGTTTAGTTATTTTTCTGGAATTTTGTTCTGTTCTTTCAGCTGGGACATGTTTCTTTGTCTCCTCATTTTGGCAGCCTCCCTGTGTTTGTTTCTAAGTATTAGGTAGAGCTGCTATGTCTCCTGGGCTTAGTAGAGTGGCCTAATGTAGTAGGTGTCCTATAGGAACCCATGGCACAGCCTCCTCTTCACCTGAGCTGGGCCCTCCAGATGTGTCCCCCAACCTCCAAATGGGTACATTCTCTTGTTGTAGTTAAGCCTTGATTGCTGTTGGCGTGTCAATAGGAGGGATTTATCCCCAGGCTGATCAGATACAAGGACTCGCTATGAGCACCGTGGAGAATCATCTGTGCAGGGGCCTACCCCAAGGAGCAGGATTTATTTCAGCGTGGCTCTGGTGCCTGCGGAGTCTGCCCGAATATGTCACTCGTGGAGGTGGTTGGGTGGTGCTTCAACATGGTCTGAAGCTGTCCACCAGGTGCTCTGGCTCTGGGGCCTCCCAGGAGGTACAGGCCAAGGCCAGGTGCCGCCTGTGTTCTTCCTGGGACTTCCCAGCATGACCTACAAAACAGTCTGCAGATGGCAGCTGCTTGTGTTGGGCTTGGAGGTGCCCAGGAGAGGCCACGTTGTTAACCAAGGCCAGCTGCTGCCATGACCAGGCCTGGGTCCAGGCCTTAGTGAGAGGTGTGGGGTATGCCAATGCCAGATGCTTTTTCTTTGAGAGATTTGAGGAAAGTCTGAGGCATGAGCCAAGACTGGCCATTCGTATGGAAAAGCCCCTGGAAACAGCTTGGGTGGGGCGGGACCTCGGAATCACCAGGGCAGGGCAAACAGTGTGAGCCAGGTTGATGAAGTCTCAGATATGGTGCCCGCCTGCCAGCTCCATGGGAGGAGGGCTCATCAAAGGAACAAAAGTCTCTGCCAGCACTTCTGTCTGGAAGAAAGCTGCCCCTCCAGCCCTGGCCCTAATGCCAAAGGACTTTGAGCTACTTCCCCAGCGTTGGAGCTCAGTCAGTGAGTCCAAATAAGTTTGTGCACGGGCCCTTTAAAAGGAACACCTGGGACTCCAGAAGCTCTCCATCTCACTCATTCTCAATCCTCATTGTTTTTACAGCCGGAAGTTGTGGGGACTTCTCTTCCTGGCACTGGAACCCTGGGCTGGGGTCCTGGTGTGGGGCTGGAACCCCTCGCTCCTCATGGCAGACCTCCCCAACTGATACATCCCTCCCGATATTTATCTGCCATGGGTGGGTGTGGGCGCAGCCTGTTCCGCGTCTCTGCGCCTCCTACCAGTCTTGATGCGGCTTCTACACATCCTTAGCTGTAGGACTTGCATTCAGCTAGATTGCAGGTGGCTCTGAATAATGGTTGTTGTATAGTTTAGTTGTCATTTTGATGTCCAAATGACATCCTTTTTAAAACCTGACATGGGCCCTGGCTGGTTTGGTTCAGCGCTTAGAGCGCCGGCCTGCGGTCCTGAGAGACCCGGGTTCGGTTCCCGCTAGGGGCATGTACCTCGGTTGCAGTTTGTCCCCGGCCCTGGTTGGTCGTGCGGGTGGCAGCCACTCGATGTGTCCCTTCACGTCGATGTTTCTCTCTCTCTCTCTTCCTCTCTCTCCCTCCCGCTCTGTCTGAACAAAAAAATGGAAAAATGTCCTCAGGTGAGGATAAAAAAATAAATAAATAAATAAATAAATAAAACCTGACATGGGTTTATACACATTTTAGCCCCTTCCATTCTTTACTTGGTGATTTCTGCTTACTAAACACAATAAATTTGGAGAAAATGACAACTTGTGTTTTGAGAATGTACCCATTATAATTAGTAATAGTGTCAATTCTGGAAAAGTAGCTATAAACTATTACATTAAAAAATGTTTTATAACATTTTCTATAACTCATACAAAGTTGCTAGAGAGCATACAATTTCCAAAAATGTCCTGAGTTTTTGTCACATTCTGTTTTCTAAGGATGCACTCAGATCAGTGGTAAAATGCAGACGTGATTTTTCATCATCTTTGGAAAAACTATTCTCATTATTCTGTCTCTTCATGGTAGTAACTTGGCTACCACTCTGTGCTGGGTCTGTTGTCCCTAAACTTTTAGGAAAACATTGAGGCTGGATCTATGTGTGACAAGTATTTCCAAACGGCAGCTATGAGCCCTGGAGCCCCACATCATCTATCAACAGGCAGAGTGAGAATTCAGTGACCTCCATTCGGGGTCTCGACATCTCCTCTCAATCAGGCAAGAAGCAAACATTTGGGTAGAAATTATTACATTTTAAAAACAAATTAAAATATTCAATTTAGAGATTTTTAACGAGAGAATGGGTGGATAGAAAAAGCATAATGTAAACAATTTCACCTGTCTCGTCAAAACCTGTGTATTGAGATGATCAGCTCTGAATCTGGGTTGTCTTTTCTGTTTGCACACCTAAGGTTTAAGTCCTCCTTCGGGGCCATTTGTACCTTTTGAGGGTCCCAACTGCATTCAGACTGTGGCTGTGGAAACGAATGGGTGAGGGCTTTCCAGAACTTCAACCATAACATGCACCAGGTCCTTGAAACAGGACGAGAGCACTTTGTCCTGTCAGAGTTTAGTCTTTCCCGTGTAGAACGGGCTAGACACTTGGAAAGCTTATTTATCGTAGCCCTTTCTTAACTATCCTGCTTTACGTGCAAGGATGTTTTGTAGAAATAATGAAGCAGGGTAAAACAAAGCTATCAGCTGTTGGCTATTCTCAAATTAGTTGATTGATAACCGTAACTATTTAAATTTGAATACTTTTGTACACACTAAATTAGCTTTAGAAAATAGAAACACCATATTTCTTAACAATGGCTTGTCCTTCCAAATAACATATTGTTTTAAGTGTGTCCCCGTTACCTCCATTCTTCTAACCTGTTCGGTTGGCTGTGTACCACCTCTGGTTACATGAAAGGAGAAAGAAGGTAGGTGCCAATTATTTACTCAGGTGAGAAATCAAGTAAAGGCATCAACTTGTGGTTTTCTAATTCCTCCGGTTCATGTCACTTCTATACAGAATGTCCACTTCTGTGCACCTTGTGACTAAACAGGTAACTGAGCAGGCTCCGGGGACTTGGGAGGAGGAGAGAACACTGAGGGGTTGTCTGGAAGACGTTTGTGGAGGATTGGGATCTGGCCCGGCTTTGAAGGTGGGGGAGTGGGAGGGGAGTCGGGGGTCCCAAGGAGGGGTGGATGGCAGCAAGGCCGGCAGCGCAGGCGGTGTTTCATCGGGAGTGTGGAGGGTTGTGCAGGTACCCTGGCTCAGCACACCGGGCGGCCGTGGAGGGCCTGTGTGACCGCGTGAGGACTCGCAGTTTAATCCCACGCACAGCAAGTTTCATCTAGAAAACTGAGGAGAGCGACAAGGTCAAATAAGAGTCACAGGCTAAAATTAAAAACAACGAACAAAATATAGTTAGCTAAAACCAAAAGCTTCTCAATAACTGTATTATTTATATTAAATGAAGTTTTCTACAAAAGTAGCGTCCTGTCTCCCGATGTATGGAGCTAGGGAGGGCTCTGTGCACGTGCAGAGTTTTTCTCCTCCCTGTGTGTTTTCTGGAAACACCTGGTTCTCTCCACATCCTGTGGCTTGAACGTGCTGTCCCCACAGACCTCCATCAGAAGTACCTCCCAAATCACAGGAAGGGCCAGGGGAGACAGCAGTCGGCTGGACTGGAAGCTCGGCTGGTGCTGAGACAAGAGCCCGTGAACAACGCTTTCGTTTCGAAGCATCGGAAGGGCCTGGAGCTCAGGTCACCCGTCACATGTCCCGAGATGAAACACGACTTGTTCCTTTAAGAGACTGTGTGGTGAAATTCAGCAGAGGAGATGGAAGGAGAAAAAAATGGAACCACAATAGCTAACACGTAGTATTTATTGTTATTTAGCAGCGGAAAACAATAGTAAAGCGGATGTTTACCAAAAAAAAAAGGGTTTTTAACTTCTGTGCTGGGAGCATGACTAAATTTCACCAAAGTTACTCAAACTGATTTGAAGTAGAAAACGTTGCCCCTCAATATTCATGTGTGATTTCCTCCCCCTTCCCTTTCAGCCACCACTTGCCACAGGCCAAGCTCTGTGCCTTGGCGACATTCCCATCGACGCCCCCTCCCCTGTCCCGCCTGGGCCAGGCCCTGCTGCTGACGCGGCCTCGGAGCTCAAGTCCCAGAGTCGCTATCCCAGGTCTCGTTCTTCTACATCATCCTGTTGCCTCTTATTCCAATTCTTTTGGCAGTTGCACCTACAAGTTAAGCATTCGAAGGAAAGGGGAAGAATTAATCTTGGAAATTCAAGAGCTTTACCACAAAAATGGCATTTATACGTCTCAGGATGTATAATGGATTAGAAATTCTGTCCAGAGAGCCCCTGAAATCATGATAAAACAACAACCACGGCCACCATTCATTGGGCATCTACTGGTGCCAGGAGTGACCCAAGGGCTTAAAGCACAGGGGAACGTAGCGGAGGAACGAGGGCACGTGCCCGAGCCAGCTGGTTTCGCGCACTTAGTTGTGTGGTGTTGGGCGTCAGTTTCCTCAGGTGCCAAATGACAAGAGTAACATCTAACACACAAGGCTATTTTAGGGATTGAATAATATAAGTTAGTAATTAATGTTAACACATTTTTTCTTTCTCTTCCTCTTTTAAATTGCAGTTTACATTCAATATTATTCTGTAATAGTTTTAGGTATACCGCAGAGTGGTTAAAAAATCATGTGCTTTACAGAGTGGTTCCCCCGTGATATTTCAAGCACCCACCTGGCCCCACACATAGTTATTAAGATATTATTGACTATATTTCCTAAGCTGTACTTTACATCCCTGTGACTATTCTGTAACTACGAATGTGTACTCCTTAATCCCTTCACCATTTTTACCCAGCCCCTCAACCCTCCTCCCCTCTGTCCACCGTCAGTCTGTTCTCTGTGTCTGAGTCTGTTTTTATTTTTGTTTCTTTTGTAACACTTATTTTTAAAACATTTTCTCATTTCATCCTACAACAGCCTTGTAAGAGGGGACAGGCTTAGACAGGTTCCATAATTTGCTTAAGGTCCCACAGCTAGGAAGTAGCCGATCAGAATTTGACCCCAGGTCAGTCTGACCGCAGTGCTCCTGTCTTAGCCACCAGAAGGCACCGGTGCGTGAATACACTCTTCTACCACCCGTCTCTCCTGTTCGAGCAGGTTCCTACTTTGATGCTCACTAAAATTTAAAAACAAAATGTTATTTACAAAAGAGGAGCGCAAGTCTGACTGCAAATGCTTTGTTTCATAGGGTGTTATGTCTTCGGAGGCTGACATCCAGCATGTACATACCACCTTCCAGAGGACGCTGAAGACATCCTGAGGGCACACAGAGTTCGAACAGCAATGACTAGGGCTGCTTCTCCTTCTGTGTTGCCCATGCCCACCTGCCACTGTGATGAGCCATCTTGGCCATCTGCTATGGCCCTTCTGCAGCCGGTTCTCTGCCCATGACCTTTGACTAGAAAGGTTTACCAACACCCAGGCCCTCTGATGTGCGGCTACTGCCTGCGTAGCCTCCAGAGCTCTGGCCTCTCCCTCCGGGCCGGCCTTGCAGGAGGGGCCATGTGACTGCTCCCTGCTGGGCTCACCCAGGGAGAGCGCTAACAGTGAAGAACCCCGATGAGCCCCGAAAATAGCTGCAACGCTGCAATAAATCAGTAAAACAGCATGCTCTTTGTATTGTTGAGTGGAAAAAAGATGTTATACAGCACTGTTCCCAATATATGTTTATATGCATGCAAAGGCTCCAAATTAATAAAAATGTTTTTAAAAGCAAAATGTGGCACTGACCCAATATAGTAAACCAGAGACAGGTGGACATAAAATATGACTGTGTTGGCAGTTCAGATCACTGAGAAAAATGGAAACGAGACACTAAGTAGTCATTGGTTAGCTATCTGGAAAAGAAATAACAGAGCAGACTTCTACTTTCTACTTCTAAAATTTTACCCTTTAATTCACCTATGATATGGGATATTTAAAAAAAGATAAAAGCAGCAAGAAAATATATGCAAATATTTGAATAAACTTCGAAAGAAGCCATTTCTAAGCAGAACACAAAAAGAAACCATAAAGAAGAAGATGGCTAGATGTGATGTAAAAATATAAAACTTACAAACAGGTGAGAATCTACTTGCAGTATTGTTGGGGGCCCTGTTCTCCCTTCACTTGTTGGTTAAAATTAGTTTTTAAAACGCAGTGTGTGTAGCATGCACACACGTGTGTGTAGCATGACCAGTGCGTGCACACACACTCACAGAGAACCTGCTGGGGCCGGGGGCAGGATCCATTTCAGCAGAGGCTGTTTGATTCCTCACGCCTGGGTCAATACCTCCGTGGGCATCCGGGACAGAGGAGAGGAAGACCTGCCCTAAGGAACTCAGAATCCATGAGGAGACCTACAGTGTGTCCACGCAGCTCTCAACTGGAAGCAGAATGTGGGAGATACTGGGAGAGAGGGACGCAGATGGCAGGCCATGGACATGTGAAGGAGGAAGGCTCGCTCTCGATGTCCTATGTGCTTTCTTTTGTGTACGAAGTCACATCTGAGCCAGGCCTATTGGGTAGATTTCAACAGATAGAGATAGAATGAAAGGCAATTTGAGCAGACGGTGGTATGAGGTAGAAAGAAGGCCCGTCAGGGAAAATCTCAGGAATGTGGGTTGCCATGGATGTCACAGAACCCTGCTGGTCGAAGTATAGTCACCAAATAAGCAGCAGCACCAAGAGACTTATCAGAAATGCAGCTTCTCAGGCTCCATCCAAGACCTATCGAATCAGACACTCTAGGGTGGGCTCAGACATCTGTACTTAGCGTTCCAGGTGGTTCTGACGCATGCTGCAATTTGAGAATCACTCCCATAGAGGTTAGAAAAGCAATATACAGGGCGGGGCAAGCGTAGGTTTACAGTTGTGAGTATGCAAAACAGAGTTTATTCTTGTATTATTATTTATTAATTATTGTATTATTTTCCATATGAACAACTGTAAACCTACTTTTGCCCCACACTGTATGAAAAACTCTTTTTCCCTCTAGATATTAGGAAAAGGCAGTTTATGGTCTATATAATTCCTGGTGAGTATACGATCTTTTGAGATGAGTTTGAAACATTACATTGTTTTCTCCTATGGAGATTCCCTTTATTTTCCAATTTTTTTTTTAATCCTCACCAAAGGATATTTTTCCATTTATCTTCAGGTAGAGTGGGGGTGGGGGAGAAACATCGATGTGAGAGAGACACATCGACTGGTTGCCTCCCGCATGACCCCTACCAGGGCCTGGGACAAACCGCCACCAAGGTACATGCCCTTGACCAGAGTCAAACCCAGGACTCATTGGTCTGTGGGCTGATGCTCTAACCACTGAGAAAACCGGCCAGGGCCATGGAGATTCCCTTTATAAGAAGCATGACATTTCCAAAGCAATGATCCAGTGTAGGCTTTGGGGCTTATAGAGTCTCCTGGTTTCTTTTTTGGAGGCAAGGAAAAGGAGCAGGAAAAAAAGGAGTTAAAGACAACTCTGGGGCTTTAGACCTGAATGTGTGCAAGAATGGAGATGCCAGGGGAAAAGGGAACCAGAAACAGCGACCTGGCCCAACAAGGAAGAGCTTGATTTGGGGACAGATTGAACGAAGGGTCAAGAAAGCCCTGTGATCTAAGGGGAAAGTGAGGTCTGGGGATTGTTCCAGATTATGTGTTAACTGAAACAAGGGGACAAGGTAAGATGAGGACAAAACCGTAGATGGAGAGGATCCAGAGAACCTAGTTAAAGAGAAAGAAGAGCTTATAAACGAGGCATGGAAGAAGTAGCCAGAGTGGACGTGAAGGCTTGAGAGTCTAGAATCTTACATTTTGTGATCATAATGACTGTTCAAGTCTTGTGGGTTCCTCTGGCCGAGGACGGCCGTTCACCCTGTTACACTGAAGTCTTTCCGTAGGAGAATTTGGCACTGGCTGGGAGCAGTGTGACGTGCACATAGGTGAGCCCAAAGTAGAAGCGACAATGTTAAAAGGTTCCTTGTTTGGCACAGAAGCTTGCATATGACATGCGTGCAGTCGGCCTCAGTGAGAAGTATAAATACTCATCTCAGATGGTGGGCAGTGAACAGACCACAGAATTTTCAAATGAAAGGAAATCATGTATTTGCCTTGAGGGATAAGCCCATACAAGCCTAATGTCTTTGTTTTGGGCTATCATCATATTGATTATAAGTTATTAACGCATAGTCATTATCTAATAAATTCAGTTTGTTAGACAAAACAAAAACCAAAAACAACAAGAGCAACAAAAACTGGAAAATTCTACAGGAGCTAAATAAGTGATGGAAATGAGTGAAGTAGGCCAGGTGTTAGGCAGCAGGGCACGGTGGGGACTGAGGGACCCCGAGGCCATGCAGAGCCAGGCAAGCCCAAAGGGACAGGTCTGATGCCGCAAGTGGTGCCAGGTAACTGGATATTTTAATGTGATTTTTTTTATTGTATATGATAATATTGAAGCCAAATAAAACAGACTTTCAGATCTGGACTGTAGTCCAGGAGTTTTCAATACCTAGCCTACAGAACACATCTTCTTTAAACTGGATTAGATGGGCCCAGTCAGTGTGGCTCTGTGGTTGAGTGTCGACTATTGCACCAAGAATTCCCGTTCGATTCCCGGTCAGGGCACAAGCCCAGGTTGCGGGCCTGATCCCCAGTGGGGGGCATGCAGGAGGCGGCCAGTCGATGTTCTCTGTCATTGATGCTTCTTTCTTTCCCTCTCCCTTCCTCTCTCTCTCTGAAATCAATAAGGAAAAAATAAAATAAAATAAAATATAGATAAACTGGATTAGTGGGGCAGCTCCTCGGAGGAGGAAACGTTTGAGCTGAGCAAACAGCGGATTTTCCTTCACTCTCTGCTGGCAACACCCTTTCAGGGGTCCGGGCCAGAGCATGGAGTAGAGAGGGAAGAAACGTTAAAGTGAAAAATATAATCTTAAATATAAATGGACTACTTACGATACACTCTAGAAGATACAAAAATAATATTTCTAAGTCCATGAGAGGAAAACAGTCTTTTCCAAGTTTTCTAGGAAAACTTTCTAAGTACATTTTTGGCATTCAGAAGTCTAGTTAGGAACATCAGTAAAAAGAAAAATCACAAAGTTTCAAAATTGTATTTTAATTTTAACTCATCCTTGAAAACCCAGGGGTTTGGAGGGCATCTCTGTCCTGCAAAGCTAGAGGAGGAAACCCCCAAAACCTTCAGTCTCACCTCTCCAAGGGAGCGGAGTTGCATCTCATCTGACTGGCCAGACATCCCTTTGAGCTGGGATTTGTGACAGCACCACTGATGGCATTTACAGTGCTTCGTGGTGGAAGATGCACAGTTTGTGACGTTTGAACCACCCTGAATACAGTCAGCGTGTTTACGATAGCTGGCTGCGTGTGCAGACACGTCCGAGCCTTTCTTACTGACGGCGCCCGAGCTGTGTGCCCGTCAGCGCGCTCGAGCGCAGGTGCGCAGCCATTTACAACACCTTTTAAAGAATGTCAAGGCAAAGGTGGCGAACTGCGATGGGTATGTAAGGATTCTTTGTACTATTTTTAACTTCTGTAAGTCTAAAATGATTTCAAAATAGAAAGGCATAAAAAGTCTTTTAAAAATTACACTATGGCTCGATGTTAAAGAGGAAATTTATTGTGTTAGAATGGAGCAGTGGGGAGCAGGTTGACATTAGTGATGTGAATTTTCATCAGTGGAGCGATGCATTTTCATTTTCCTCAAAGAGCGTTTTACTGGACCAGGTAGGTGAAACAGTGGGATGTTCTGCATCTGGGGTGCACACGCGCAGGGGGGCATGCGCAGGGAGGTGCATGCAGTGGTGCCCACGCAGGGAGGTGCGCGCAGGGAGGTACATGCTGTGGCACCCACACAGGCCAGCAGGCATGAGGGCCGTTGGCCTTTCAAAGTAGAAATCAGTTCAGCATGTTTTTCTTTCGTGGTGGACATTAAAAAACACAACTTAAAACAAATAACATTTCAGAATTGATTGAAAATGTAAAATGTAGTATTTAGTAGGGTGGTACATTTTGCAATTATCATCATGAATTTATTTCAGTGTCTTTTGCTTTAGGATCTGGACTTAGGATAAGTGTTCTCAGTTGAGTAAAAGGCAGAGTGTTCAGACTATGAAGATTATAAAACCCATACTGTGTGCTGCATCCCTGGCCCCTCTGAGGGTGCCCGACACGTGGCAGCACCCTGTAGACATTTGTTGATTAATGAGTCAGCGAATGGTTGGAGTGGAACAGACTCCAGGAGGTGGGTTTGCCTAGTAGAACATTCCCGCAGCGGGCAGGGAGTTGGGTCGGATCACCGTTTGACCTTCATTCTCTCTTCTACTCTGAATCCACATTCCACTTTTAATGTAGATTTTAAAAAGAATTCTCTTCATTCTTTTCAGACTAATGTTATTTTCAGACTGTGTAGCCATCAAGGCAGCTTGGATATGCTTTACTGACGACTGGTTACAAAAATGATAGTTTCTCTCAAAACAACCCCCTCAGCCACCCCCTACTGAAGTCTGGCTGCCAGAAGAGCAGGTGCAGAAAGTCTTGATGATGGGCCCAAGGACACGCAAAGAACTCTCACCTGACCTCATGTGACCCCAGTGTTCCATTCTGGCTTCCCCCCAGCAAGAGTCAGAGCCCCCTGAATGAAAGACAGTTTTCACTTAGAGTAACGTAATGTAGTCAGTGCTGCATGACTGGGAGATGACAATGAGGGACCTCCATGTGGGTGTGTATTTATATGAGTAAGTAGCAACTATCTTATTTTACAATATATAGTTCTTTGAAGCAGAAAAAGAACCTGCTTACATGAAATTTCTTCAAAACATCTTGAAAAAACTGACTCTCTGATCAAATAATATATTAACTATTTTGTCAATGTCATCTCTTGGCTAAATTACACACTAGATTTCAAAATTATAGTTAATTATCGGCCACCTGTGACCCTTGGACACACACCTTTCAGCCTCCATAAATGCTATCTTAGTAATGACAAAAGAAATTTCTCCTGCAACTGAACCTGCAAGGGACAGAACATTTTTGTACATCAGCAGCAGTAACAGTGAATCATAGTGAATATTAAAACTGAAATAATAGTAAAATATTTAAAACTCCATTACTTTGTGGCAACACTAACCTGGAGTTTCCCATTTGTCTGCCTAAACATGGAAGAGTACAAAAGCAATGGCCAGTCATCTCTCTTCATCTGCTAAAAGTGAAGAATTGGGGTGGAAGCACTCAGGTGCTTACAAATGACTGGCCTCATTAGGTGTCATTCCTATTCCTACAGCAGGCTCTTCAAGACCTCGATTGTCAGCTCTGTCGCTGGTATGAATAAAGGCTTGACCCTGGACTTAGAACTGAATTTCAGTGTCAACTGTAGTGCTTCCTACCTATATCTCCTAGATAAGTGATTTAACTTCCCTAAGCCTCAGTTTCCTTTCAATGAAATGGGGTGAATACTAATACCTACCTTATGGGGCTGTTAAAATGAGTTAATTCACATAATGAATCTGGCCTATAGGAAGTGCTTAGTGATTATTAGATGTTAATGTTGTTACAGAAGTTATACAGGTGTACGTCCTTGGGGATAACAAGTAATTTAGACCTCCAATTAGTCACGTTTAGTGAGACGGTCCTGGTGCTAAAACGAACAGGAGTAGAGCTGAGATACATTTAGTGTGGTGCTGTTCACCGCTTCTCCCTCCTTCTACTTACAGGTTTAAGAAAGGCGACGTTGCTGTGACGAATGTCATTCAAGAGCTGATCTCTGGGCGTGATTTCCACCAACGGGGGCGGCCTGTTTCTGGGCACTGGTTTCAGCGTTTTGATCACATCTTTGAGGTTGGTTTTCTCAGGGTTGTCTCTGGCTTCTGGCATCCGAGATTTGCGCTGGGTCCTCTTGAGCTTCACGCCCCGGAAGGAGTCAGGGTCCGTCCTGTATGGAGGGGACTGTGATGGCTTTTTCATCACTTCATTTCGTCGACTGAAGGGGACTGCTGGGGGGTTGGGAGGATGAGGGGGAGGATGGAGGAACTCCTGCATCCTGGAATCTGGCATTGGTCCTCCCAGCATCTCCCACATCCCAGGTGGCAGTCCTAACCCGTTCTCCAACATGGCTATTAACCTTCTCTGCTCTTTGAGTTGTTGCTGTTTTTGTTCTTCTTGCCTTTTCTGCCTTTGCTTATCCTGATTTCTGGTGAGCAGATTGGTCACCACCATTCTGGGACCCGGGAGCTCAAAATGGTAGCCCATCTTTAGGAGAGTGCTATTTGCCTTCAAAAGCCTGGCTATCTCCATTTCGGCTTGGTGGCCCAGCATGTGCCTTTGATTGTGAAACCGCAATTCGGTTAGCGTCTCATTAAACTGGAGACACCGCATAATGGCCACAATTCCTTTACCTGTTATGAAATTGGACTCGATGTTGAGCGTGGTAATGCTCCTGTTTTCACGCAGCATGTTAGCCAAGGCGAAGGCCACATTCTCATCCGCACCCACGTTCGCTAAACTGAAGGTCTTGATGTGTTTGTTTTTCTTCATTGTATTAACAAAGTCCAGTAGCATTTCTTTGGGGATGTTTTCGATGTTGTTCAGGTTGAGTTCCTTCATGTCGGGGTCGTTCTGTCTAACTCGCCGCAAGCTGCCTTCTAGGTCAGTTTGGTTTCCTGAAGGCCTTGCACTTACCTTCAAGAAACTGGTATCTAGAGCTAACTTTTTGGGATCTAATTTTGATACTTTTCTCTCACTTTGTTCTTGGGCCTCTGGTCTGTCTTTCTGTTCTGCAAATGCTTTGTTTGTCACCTGCTGGCAGCTGTTCTCACCATTTCTGATTGGCTCCTTCACTTCGCCTTCCTCTTCTCTTTTTGTTTTCTCATCACTCCCTTCACTCTCATCTTCTCCTTCATCTTCTGCATCTTCGTCCTCCTCATCTTCATCTTCATCTTCCTCCTCATCCTCATCCTCACTGTCTGTTTCTTGGACACTGCCCTTTGATTCTCTTTTATTTGCAGTGATTTCATTATTGAGCTTTTCTTTTAAATACTGGGACACCTTTTTATTACCTTTGTCCATTTCTTCATGCTGCTCTTTAGTGTTTTCCTAAAAGAGAGGTTTTTGAGGGTTAGAATACATAGCAGTGAAGAAATAGAAAGTAGAGCAATATCTACTAGAAATAATAAGATATATTATTGAGAAAAAAGTAAGCAAATCGTATGTATAGTATTCTATTTATGTGTGTGTATATGTATGTATACATACATACAAACACACACAACATAGAAAAGTTTATAAATATATGGGGAAAAAGTCTGTTGTATTATTTATCAAATTAGTACTTATATCTTAGGAAGAGAAGCAACCATTAAGATAACTGAGGAGGGGAAGCATTTGGGGCATATTAACGTGTTACAGTATATAAGTTTAGAGTGTAGGAGTAGTTTTGTAAGCAAATGCAACCAAAATAAAGATACTTTTTTATAGCCACATACACATAAACACATTTTTGGGCTGCGTTTACCTTATCCCATCTATTAAAATGAAACCTAGTAGATTTTGTGTTTAGACTCTGTATTGTTTTTAAAAATGCTTAATAATTTCAGAAGTAGTTAACAATGATTTGTTTTGAAAACCTTATGGAGTTATCTACCAATACACTGAAGTCTTTATTTTGTGTATAGCTGAATAGGTATCTGTGTATTCAGTAACCCTGAGTGACACAATAATTTCCTTATTGCCATAACTAAAATTTACATTCCTCATATGCTTGCTAATCCACTAAACTGTATATGTCAGTTTTCCTTAAAAAACATAACATATTGTGGGGAAAATGAGAGTAGTTCGATATTTTGGAACACGAAGCCTTGACTTTGATTTGTCTCCTCAGCTCTGTGAAAACTGCCCTGGCTACTACAGGTTCGCTGTCCTGTTCTTTTTGAAGGGAGGTGTTGAGGCTGCAAAGGGGACAGGGTTATGCAGACATTTAGAAACAGTTGCTTAGTCTGGGGAGGAAAGCAGATGTCTTTATGAATAGTGTTTATTAGATTGTTGCCCATCAATTTGTACTGTACTTTCTATTGTACATTTCCCTGTTCAATATGTATACATCATATGTGTCATTTTCAAAGCTGGTGTAACAGTGTGAATCACAGGTTCATCCACACAAGAACTTGATCTTTTTTTTTCTTGACCCCATGTCCCCCCATTCACGATACAAACCAGTTACAGGGGGCCTGGGCTGAGGTGTATATGGGGTGGGTTTACTCTGCCTCCTCTTTCTGTACAGTCTGTGAGGCCAAGAACTTGATCTTATTGCACATAAATTGTAGGTTGGGAATGAGTTGACAATACCTTAGCAATTGTCATCTTCCCCAGCAGGGGGAGCCAGCCATCAAGCTGTTTAAACTATACCAAGAGAAAAAATGTGAAAAGTATCCAACCAGTTTTCTTTTTCTGAAATTATTCATATACAATTGGCTTTTACTCCAATTGTAAAATGTCTGAAATTGTTTCTTAAACTCTAACCTTATGAAGTCAGCAATTTGTTTTCTTGACTTTAGTACATGTTTAAACTCTCCTGACCTGAGACCAGTTTGTAACTTTTCCAATTGCAGACAGCGTGACAGTAATCGGACAAGATCTGTATCAGCAAACACAACTAAAAGAGACTTTACTTGGGGGTCTCTATTAGAAAAAATATGATAATATACAATATGTTCATAGATTTAACCACAATTCTATTTTATAGAAAAACATTTAAGAAAGAACTATTTTAAAACAGCTCAATAGATATTTCTAAAATGATCACTGATACTGAATGCACTGTGGGAATATTGAATATTTTCAATTATTTGACTTGGTCTAATTGCAGGGTGTGTGGGTGGACACCAGGGGACTGTGCACCTTGAAACTGTGTGTGAAATTCTGCGTATGTATGTACGTGCCGGGAGCAGAAGTACAGACCTCAGCTTCTTAAAGAGGTTTGTGAGCCAAAAAGAGATTAAGGACAACCCTTTCTGGGTTATGAGTTAATTCTTTAAATATCATGTTCATAAACTACAAGCTTTCCTACACAGCAAACTCAATAGCAATTTTTTAAAAAGAGGCATCTATAAGAATTACCAACTTTCCCCTCACAGCTATACCATATAAGTATTTCAGAAAGTTCCAAAGTTAAATATTACGATTTAATCTTTAAGTGGCAACAAAACAACTCAAAGCATGAGCTCTAGAGAAGTGAGTTGCCCCATGGACACCTGCCAGCCCAGCGCCATTTCTCTGCGGTGCGCAAGCCCCTGGTTACCTGGGAGGGCACGAAGGTGACGGGAACGCGCTCGTCCTCCAGCAGGCGTCTGGACGCCTTTTGCCAGTACATGTAATCAACAAGAGACCTGTGGTCGAAGGTTCCTGTTGGTGGCTTGTCCGTTTGATCTTTCTGAATCATTCCCACAGGAAGCCTGGGGTCAGGGGCCATGACTTCCATTTCTGATTGCAGTTCTAGCAGCTCTTCGGGGGACAAGTTGGCCAAGATTTTATCTTCATCAATCTCTTCGTCAAACAGTTCTTCTTGATCTGAATTCCTGCTGTGCTCCGACATGATTCTGTTCTGTGCTTTTTTCTATCTTACTAGAAAAGGAGAAATAATCAAAGGTGATGTGAAAAACCTCTCAAGAAGTTTCCCCAGTTAACAAGCGTCCCAGGTCAACACCCCCTTCAGAGGTGTCCCCAGCAGAACCCCAGCGGTGTTTGCGGAGCAGCGAGGAGACTGCGGCCGGGCTCACCGCGTCGGTATCACCCAGGGCTGGGCTGGAGGCGACCGGGTTATGGAGCTACTGTGCGGCTCTCTTTTCGGCAACTTGAGTCAGCTGTGCAAATCCATCTGACATTTCAGGGCAGCTGCTGGGCTCGCGCTGCCGAATCGCTGCAGGAATACGTTCTTTCCCCGCGTGCTCGCACAGCCACACACAAGTTCATGCAGCCCACGCGCCCCCCACCACACTGGGAGACCTTTTAGTTAAACGATTAAAGCAACTTACGCTATTCGGAATGAAAATTCAACCAGCGCCTTGGGTTCTACTGAAATGAAAAATGTATGTGAAGAAATTCGCCCCCTCACTGCAGTGTGGCCAAGCAAACCACCTGCGCACAGCAGGGCAGCGGCCTGGCTGAACCTCGCCTGCTGGGTAAGCTGAGCCTTGCACGGTGTCCTCATTTGCATCTAGATCCTGTGATCTAACAGGTGGGAACAACCAGCACTTGAATTTCCATTATGAGTGGGGAGTTTACTATTGTAAATAATTTGTTTTTCTTAATGATCCATTAAGCCAGGATAAATGTAAATGGATCTAAATTGAAGGGTAAAAACAAAAAACCACCAAACATTAAAGTACCAGAAGAGAGCACAAGAAGGTATCTTCACAACTTCAGAGTGTGGCAATATTTTTCAAATGGCAATATTTATCCAAATGACAAATGTACATTTCTCTTGAACTAGCCATTCTACTTTAAGAATTTTTTATCTTACTCTTTTTTTAGACAAATTTTTAAATTAAGTAATTAATTAATTTTTGTTACAGATGTTTCTCCTTTCCCCCCACTGTTTCCCCCTCCCCCCTAGACAAAATTTTTATAGAATATTTTATCCATGTTTTTATCCTACAGATATCCTATGTGGATGAAATGACAGTTGTGCAAGATTATTTAACAGCAAAGTGAAAAACAGTGTGTATTGTATGCTATTATTTGTGTGATACAAGGTAAAAAGAACATATGTATATGAACACATTATATCAACATAATGCACCCTTGGAAAGATGCACAAGAAACCAATACCCTTGGATAATTTTGAGGGAACAAGCTGTTTGGAAGGCTGGGAAAAGACTTTGTTACTGTATACCCTTTTATAATTGCCAGAATTTGAACCTTGTGAATATAACACTTATTAAAAATAAACATTTATTGTACAAAAATTAGGATAGCACATGGAAGCACAAAGAAAATAAACATTTCCCCTTATCCCACTACTAAGGGCTATCACTATTAACGTTTTGGTTTATCATTATATTCCTTTCTGTAAGGCATATAAGCTCAATATCTTTGTTTGTTGTTTTTTTACTTACAGTTTTTTTTCTAGGCTATTATATATTCTACCACTACAGTATTATTACAACCCATCATATATACATATATATAATTATTTACAAAGTATATAAATTTTACTATTCTAATATCATACATAATTTATAAATATTTATAGCATATAATACATTTCATATATTACATAATCAAATAATATAGTCTTAAATATCATAGTTATCATAGTAATAAATGTTTATAAATAAAATTTATAATTTTGGCATATGTTTTACACACATACACACATATGTAGCAAAACATATGAAAAAGTCAAAAGCAAGCCCTGGCTGGTTTGGCTCAGCAGTTAGACCATCAGCCTGTGGTCCAGAGAGACCAGGGTTCAGTTCCCGCTAAGGGCATGTACCTCAGTTACAGTTTGTCCCTGGCCCTGGTTGGGTTGTGCGGGTGGCAGCCACTCGATGTGTCCCTTTCACATTAATATTTCTCTCTCTCTCTCCCTTCTTCTCTCTCCCTCCCGCTCTATCTGAACAAAAAATGAAAAAATGTCCTTGGGTGAGGATTAAAAAAAAGAAAAAGTCAAAAGCAAGAAGTTTTAAATTGATGTTTTAATATTGTTTTCTACCCCTAGGGGTTGACCTTGAATTCTCCAAGGTTGAGAGGCTTTTCAGTTATATAGGTAAATGATTCCCCAGAAAGGTATTAGCAGTTTACCTGAATAATTATTGTAAAAGTAAAGAGCATAGGTACATAGTGGCAACATGGTTAAACACCGGTCAGGTCTTCCTTATGTCCTTGTAGAGGGAAGTAAAAGCTTGGACTCAGCGGGCAGGGAGGTTTGTAAACCACTTCGCAAACCACTGAATTGCAGGTGATTATTTCATAGGCTTAGTTTGCAGACCGGTGGTCTTAAAAGACTTGACCAAAAAGAGCTTTGTGTTCAAGGAGGACTGGAAAATATTACTTCTGCATTTGTCTTTTAGAAATTTGTAAAGTTTATGACATTTTAGATACTCTGAGAAATCATACAGGAGCGAAATCCATTTGTTTAGCCCAATATTCCCCAACCTTATTTAGCTAATTCACACTTTTTTTTTTCCTTTCAAAAACCCCTTAATAATATCCTATGTGATTAACTTTCCAAAATTAACTTTGGGAAATACTGATATAAAAGAGGAATATCTGCAATCAGTCTGCAGGATTCAAGTCCCGGCTCCACCGCTGAGTGATATTGGGCAACTTATCCCTGTTTCCTCATCATATAAAAGTAGACTGAAAATAAAATTCACCATATGCAACTACTGAGCAGACTAAATGAGGTTATATAGAGATACCTATGTAAATTAAGTGGGATGGTGCATTACATAGTGTAAGCCATCAGTAAAGGTTCAATAGCTCTGGCCAGTGTGGTTCAGTTGGTGGAGGGTCCTCCCATGCACTAAAAGAGTTGCTGGTTCAATTTCAGGGCAGGGCACATACCTAGGTTTTGAGTTCTGTCTCCATTAGGGGGCGTGCAGGAGGCAACCAATAGATGTTTCTCACATTTCTCTTTCTTCCTTCCTCTCTTTCTCAAATCAATGCAATCATATTTTTAAAAATTTAAATATTACTATTCTTTTATTTCATGGATAATCACAGAAACATCTAAAGAAAAACAAAGACAATTGTAAAATATAATACATTTTGTAAACCATTTCCACAATAGAAACCATTATATTAATGATAATAAACAAAAGAGCTTTAAAAAAATCTTGTTGCTTTTACAGAAAGCAACTCTGAGACGTTTAGATGGAATTGTTTATAAAGAAAATAAAAAATCAACTTGCATGTAAATATGAAGCTCTCTCCAGAAAATGATCTGAATTGTTGCTAGTGAGCTTTCAGATTCAAATGTTATTCCAATGAACCGCACTTGTTTTGACGTGACCAAATGTTTTGGATGATCCAGCAGACTTCGGAGTATCTGTGAGGCTCCTTCAGTGAATACCCACCTTCTGAATCAGTCTGCAGAGGGGCACATCTCCCCCAGCTGCTTCCACTGAGCATCTTAGCCACATGCTGACATGGAGGGTTTCGTGGTGTAATTAGCCCCATTTGACACACATGATTTAGTTGCGCTTTCTCTTAATGATTTCCTGCGGCTGCTACCTCAGCAGCTTTTTATATCAGGGTTACTATACCGTGAGAAAGTAGATAGCTGTGGGATAATTGATGACATTTTATAGCCAGATGGGCATCACAGATAGAATCCCCAGCAGAGGTTATGAAGTGCACGAACACCCTGTCCCCACCCAGAAGCTAATGAGTCAGAATTCTCCGGTTTGGGTCCAGGAATCTATTTTTTGAGAGCTCTTCAGGTGATTCTGATGTGTAAATAAATAAGTGTGAAAGTCACAGAGCTATTGCAAGTCAGTTATTTTACAGATCAGGCTTAGAGAGCTTAAGAAACAGTATTTGACAAGACTCAGAGCATGCTGCCCCAAAATATGGCACTTTGGGATACTAAATATTTTAAGCTGAAGGAATTTCAGAAACAGCAGGTGCAGGAAGGACTCTCTGACCGCCCCCTTTACCCCTGAAGCAGGTCATAAGACCCTCAGGTGAGAGGTATCCCAGAAGGAAGGATCGTCCTTATCACTGAAGACAGAGGTGTTGCAAGGACTGGACAGGAATCTGGCCGAACAGGCCCTGCTGCTACACCGCACACCCTTCTGTCTGTACGTTTTCCCATGACTTGACTCCATGTAACCTAGTATAAAAACAGTCCAGCGCTGGCCGTGTGCTAAGTGGTTAGAGCGTTGCCCTCGAACCAAAGTGTCTTGGGTTTGATTCCCAGTCAGGGCATGTACTTGGTTGCAGGTTCGATCCCAGGTCCCAGTTGGGGAGCAGGTGGGAGGCAAACAATTGATGTGTCTCTCTCACATCGATGTCTCTCTTTCTCTCTCTCCCCTCTTCCCTCCCTCTCTTCCACTCTCTCTAAAAATCAATGGAAAAAATATCCTTGGGGGAGGATTAACAACAAAAAACCACACTCACACACACATACACACACACAGCACTCCAGATGAGAATTTCTTGGGGTCTTCATTTCCTTACGAGGCTGCCTTGTCAGTAAAGCTTAGTGAAGTGAATTTGCATGCTTTTCTCTTGCTAATCTGTCTTTAGTCCAATTTACAGGCCCAGTTGGAGAACGTAGGTGGGTAGTAGGAAAAAGAAAAATAAGTTTTTCCTCCTTTACATTGAACAAGTTAACCTCTATGCCTCACTACTGCGTATTTAAAAGTGGGATAATAAATGTGCCTACTTTACAGGATATTTGAAAAATCCAAATGGCATAGTTCATGGTGAACACTTATTAAGCATTAGTTCTTATTATATCTTAAAAATTATTTTTTCTTTATTGATTTTAGAGAGAGAGGAAGGGAGAGAGAGAGAGAGAGAGAGAGAGAGAGAGAGAAACATCCATGAGAGAGAACATCGATTGGCCACCTCCTGCATGCCCCACACTGGGGATCGGGCCCACAAGCTGGGCATGTGCCCTGACCAGGAATCGAACCAGCCACCTCCTGGTGCAGGGTCAACGCTCAACCACTGAGCCACACCGGTCAGATATTTCTTATTATATCTTTACAAATAAATTGTGTGACTCTTCTGCCTAGAAAGTGTCTGATATCTACCAAATACTGTTCAAGACTGAAGAAATAAGTGGCTTT